ATAAGAACTAGTCAGTTCATAGACTAAAGTTTGTTTATTTTTTAATCGGAAGCTTACCTCAAGGAAAAAGACAGCAGACCTCAAGGTTTTGAAAGACTTTATCATGGTTCAAGTCCATGAAGCTTGCTGTTTCCCTTTGGCTTACCTACTTACTGAGCCATGAAAATCATAGCATAATCGTATTCTTCTCTATAGATTCCTGTTTATCTAATCTGAGTAAATTATTGCTTTTGATCAAATAGACGGGTCTCTTTCCTACGAATATCTCTTAGTGGATAAAATTCATAGTCTTTAGTTACTTGAAAACACTTATTTATTTTAAAATAAAAGGACAACGGATCTGAATAAGTTAATGGACTAAACAAAGGTAAAATCTACATCACTCTTCGCTCTTAAAATTTCGAAAATAAAATTGATTTTTGTTTTAAAAGGTTAATATGAAAAAGATAGATCTTTGAAATAAAAATCTAAACTTTCTAAGTTTTAGAGAATTACTTAAGTATAATTAATAAAATGAACTTTTTTAGTACTTAATGATAAGCATGATGATGTAGGTACTGTATTTATACCAATAAAAACAAATGATGATGATGATGATGAGCCAGTAGAGTATTTTTAAAATGAAAATAAATTTTATTATTGAGTTTTATTAGGTTCTTGGAAATCAAGAGTAACTTTGAGAGGGTAGAAAGAGAGTCCAATGAAGTAAATGTAAAATCGATTTTGTCTTAATTATTAATGTTTTATTTTTCTTTAAAGAGGATTAAATGCATCCGGTCGTCAAGATATTGATGATTGTAGTGATGCGACAGAAACAAGGTCAAATTCATATAAATAATCTCGAATTTATTTTATTTTTTATAACCCATTTTAAATGATAAAGATGATGATTCAACATCTGATGAAGAAGATCTTTTACATACACGTGTAAAACGACGTAATAGATGATCACCAAATACTTCTGAAATAGTATTAAATGCTGATGTAAGAATAACAAAATCAATTTGTTTTTGATAATTATTTTTTTTAAATTTCAGTCCCAATATTAATTAGCACGTTTAATCAATAAATTTGATCAATATACTACAAATAATTCCTCTGAGTCTATTCCATCTTGAATAGCTAATTCAGATTGTGAAGAAAATTTGAAGAATATTCTAGATAAGTAAATATTTCCTTTTCATTCTCTATATTAGATTTTTCTTTCGTCTGATTTTTGTTTTACTAGTCAAATATATATATATATGTACATATCTGTTTACATTCATTTCTTTTACAATATCAAAAATGTCGGCTGCTGATGAACGTGCATTTAAAAAAATGAAAACAGAAGAAAAAAAAGAAGAACAAAATGAAGAAAACCAACAGAAAGAAGATGAAGAAGATAAAAATCAAGATCGATTATTTCAATTCTTAAAAGATTTGCACCAGCATCGCAACGATGTAAGTAAAAAAAATTTTAATAACTAAATTTATATATTTTTATTGATTTAGGCTCGCAAATTAGGTGAAATTCAATCATTAACAATGTATAAAAAGAAAAATGCTGAAGCTGCACTTAATGAATTACTTATGAAGAAAAATCCAAAAAAAGAAGATGAAGAATTTTTACTAGGCGAAGTTGATAAATATGATCGGCGATTAGAACTTGTTAAACATGCTATTGAAAAAGCATCAGCACCATAAAGCAGGTAATGAATTAAATAAACTAAAAATATTTTTTTTTAAATATAATTTCTGTTTTAGTAGCAAATATAAATATACAATATTTCATTATGTTAATTATTATTATCGTCTTTTTTTTTTAAACTTTTTCTTCACAATCTCATGCTAAAATTTTAATATAAAAGTTAGTAAAAGAAATAATTTCAAATTATTCTTATTATTTAATTAATTAATTTTTTTTCTCTTTAGCTATCAATATTCATTAATGTCTTCTTCATTTAATCCACCATCACAATTACCAATTCGTAAAACTTCAATTGATTTTACTTCAGTTTTCTTCTTCTTTCTCTTGTAAAAATGAAATGTATAAAGAATTTCTTCAGTTGAAAATAAAAAAGTTTAATGTTTATATTAACTCAATATATGTTTTAACTATTTATCAAAATTCAGAAAAAAATCGAGCGTATTTTTCATCAATAAATGCTTTTATTTCAATTAATTCTTCATCATTAAGCTTTGCTATAATAGAGTTGCAAATCAAATCAATCGTCATATTTCATTTAATTAAGAACATTTTTGTAATCTTCTAGGATTTAGGTGAATATTCCTAATCTTAAGTATCTTTCTGCATCTCTGGACACATTTAACCATATTGTTTATAGACCCTTTACTCTTCCAAAATAAACTGATTTGAATCTGTATATGTGTGCTGTGAATGCCAGCAAAGTAGTGGAACTTCTCCAGATCTCACCTAATTTATGCCGTCTATATATCACCTTATTGTATAGTTTAATTGATGGTCATCAATGGGATGAAAAAAAATATTCGTAATAACTTGCCCAAACTTCAAGTATTTCTACTCGAGATACAGAAAGTAGTTTATCCGATAGCTTTGATTGAAAAAATTTCTACGAAAAAATCAACATTTACAATAATAAAGGAAAATACTCATCAAAACGTTTTGATCGAACAAACGGCTTATCTATATGAAGTCCTTTTAATTTAGCACAATAAAGACGTGTTGTATCATTAGTGAAGTTGTTTGTTACCATTGCGAGTGATTTATATTCGATGCAGAGATCCAACAAACAAGGTAAATGAGTGTTCGTATCGACGAGAAATTGCTCAGCATAATCAACATGTGCTTCAACAAGATTGAGAAGATTAAGATGAGGAAAATTAATTAATGTCGAAGAATGTTGCTTCTCTTTTTGTGGTTCCACATTGTTTATATTCAACTCTTTCAAAAAAGGAAAATCATCAGAAATAATTTTGAATAATTGATGTTCGAAAGGATATGTATCAGTCATTGTTAAGCATCGGGCTTTAATAAACATGCCACCTTGAAAAGAATTGTTGAGATGAAGAAAACGTTCGAATTGATATGGAAGTGAATATATATGGGATTTCACTACAGCCTTTACTTCTTTAAAACTGAATTCGTCTATTGGCGTTCTTGGTTCAAAATGCACATATGAACCAATTTGTCCATATTCTCTTCCAATGAAACTATGTTGAATGTGGGTGTGGGTGTGGGTGTCAAAAAAAGTAACATTCACAACTGCGCCTACATCCACCCACACACACCCACACCCCACACCCACACCCACCCACACCCTCAAAGATTATAAGTTGATAAATTGATTTTTGTTTTTCGACCAAATAAATTCAATCCGACATATAAATATAGACTCAGAAATATTTCTCATCGTCAAAACTCTATTTAGAGTGTTTAATGAGTGCTAAAGATATTTTTCACATCTCTTTATGATACTGCTGGATATTCAATTAGAATAAACATCGGTTCTATAGTGGTTATTTAATTCTCAAATGTCAAACCTATTTTATCGTGTCAATCGAGTGTTTACCCTCCGAAGTTTTCTCGAATACTAATTCTATTCTTATGAAGAAAAAAAAACGAAAACATAAAACTAAGGTGTCCAAGTATTTCTTTCAGTTATAACTGATCAGATCATATCGGATGAGAATTCTACTCTTCTATTATATCAATGAAGTATTTCATGCAAGAATTTTGTTCATTGACGTCGTAGAAAAAACCAGCATATATTTTAATTATGTATATCTACAGGTCTTTTTTTCTTTTTTTTTCAGAATATTACAGTGGATACCAGTCTCCAGCCTATCTTTCTCAAGAGCGAGCTACCATCGAACCGTAAGTTATCTTATTCTATTTAGTTATTTCTAGTCAAAAAAAAAAGAAATATTTAGATTTGACAAAAATACAAAAATGAATCATCTCGTTGTATTAAATAATCTTTTTATTTTACATTTAAATGAGAAAATTTTACAATAACGATGTCTTGATAAAACATCAAAAGACAGAAAAACTTCATCATTTCCAGGTTAAATTTAAAGTACATATTTACAAATATATATATATATATATTTTTTAAATAGAGGTTCAAATGGTAGATATAATAAGTAAAGTATTTCTTTATCCCTATGCTCGTTTAGTTATTCTATCAAGACGTGATAAAGGTGATTCGTATAGATTCTTGTATCATAAACAAATTCATTAAAATTAATTAAAAAATCAATACGATTTGGAAATCCTAGATTATTTTTTCTTGTTTCTCTTTCGTGGTGTAATCGATTTTTCTAAGAACAAAATGATGTTGTTGCACTTTCTGGCTGGTCAATATGAAAGTATCTATGAAGTATCGATTCGATCCGATGATGAATTATGATCATGTAATGAAGTTTATCCATCATTTAAATCTATTATGGAATTGAATAGAGATAGTCTTACCAGTATTTATTATAACGTTAAATCTGGTTATGAAGATAATAGAAATACATTGAATTGGACTAGATGTAAATGCATTTTTTGTCTCCCTCATTTACTATTTATCAAAACAAAAAAGTGTTCAATTAAATGACAAAGGAAAGAAAATTTCACGCTCTACAAAACTGTGCACTTCACTTTAAAAAAAACAAAGAACTTTGTCTTTTGCATAGCAATCTAAACATTGATATGTTATGGATATTGATACTCTGACATGTCGATGGTTGCCTTTTCAAAACTATAGACTTTCAATTAAAATAAATTTTAAGAACAAAGAACTTTATTATAGAAGAAAGAGAGTTCTCTTCTCTATCTGATGGATCTAATTTTCTATATTAGATCTTTTATCAACAATTACAATCATCTCCTACCTTTTCACTTAAACATTTTGCTTAAACTTCTCTAAAATAGGGAAAAACGTAAACGACTTACCTTGAAATGTCGCGGTGGGGATATAGAATGTACATTGGTGCATTAGTTGTTTTTCAATGAAAAGATAAGTGGGTGTGGGTGTGGGTATTGGAAATTCTATTCTCTACCCACACCCACACCCATCCACACCCACACCCACACCCATCCACACCCACACCCACACCCACCCACACCCACACCCACCCCCACCCACCCCCACACCCACCCC